ACTTCAAATGCCTATCCAAGCTATAGTTATAATTAAAACAAAATTAAACCATTGCAATATTATTTCGAATACACTTTAGAATATACACAACTATAAATTAAGGTCGCATTTAGGTTCGCTTTAATATTTGACAGGCCATTACGTATTTATATCTTTGTATAAGGTTGATCCCATAAAATTCCCTTTTTATTTGACGCTGTGTATAATTTTTTAAAGCTAACATATTTACCCTGATTTTCGGGGGCAAAACGGCTCAGATTCTACAGCCAAAATTTACCAAATTAATTCCCATGTTTCTGTCTATTTTATGGCATGTAAATTTGATAGCCTTGTCTTAATTTTAATTGTACAGTCAGTATTCTGTAACTAGATTGATCGCGCTGAACAGAGAAAAAACATGTTGCTTTGTTCTACCATGGGGAGGGGTATTTATCCAATTTCGGCTTCCGACCACTAGCGTACATATTTCCATTGAAAATATGGCACATTCTGGCCGGCTCAGAATTTATTGGATGATCGTCGAACATAAAAGTACTAAACAATGTAATTTAGGTCTCCCCGAGTACAAGTTGTCAGGGGCCACATGAAGACTGTCAGACACATAGTTTTCGTCTAAAGCTTGATAGGATACATCGCGTCTGAGAATATTGCCGACGATGATCACAAAAACATCTCCATGAAAGCCCTTGGCCAGAAGAGTGGCAAGTATTATAATCCGGCATAGTTATATTTTAATGTAAAGAAATGTAACATTGTGTTACAAAAGGTGAGCGTAGAATAATATTTGAAGAAGAATAATGATATTTTTTCTTATAGTAAAGAGATAAAAACGCAGTGAAATGTCAAAAACGTTTCTAAAATTTCGTAGGTGTCAGAACCTATTAGCATCTCAACATAGGGTTGTTGGAATATAGGGTTGTCGGAATATAGGAATGTCGGAACATAGGGGTGTCGGAATATAAGGATATCGGAACATAGGGGTGTCGGAATATAGGTGTGTTTCCCCGAGCAGGGATGTGCCCCCCGCAGAAGGTAGGAATTTTTTGAAAAATGCAACCAAAATGAAGTCATTTGGTGCATACTTGGGGATTTTCATTCTTGATCACTAAGAATACAGTACATGTACACAGAACCAAAGGCCTTACACAAACGCAGGCTTTGATATAAGCCTATTATTGATATTTGGGTAAGTCTGGAAAGTGGCGGGGACAGTTGATATTGTGTCCCCCCACTTTCTGAAGGGTGTCCCCCTGTTCCCCCATGATCGACGCCCCTGGTCGGACCGTGGTCAACGTGATTTTGCTGGAATCTTGACGTTTTTAACAACTAGCATGTATCAATGAGCTTGTCAGTTACTTATTTTTTGATAACAATTGCGACATGCAATCTCCGTTGATTGGGCGACGTGAAACGTGTTTGCATATCCGTAAAACAATGAATATTCAATAGAAATTGATAACAAAGCAGCTAGCGCTACGTCAAGGTTGGTCAACTATAAGCAGTACGTCATTTGATTGTTCTTATTCTTAGCGGCGGACATCCGGGCATTTTAACCGCATTGAAACCATCACAGTGAAAACAAAGGCTGAAAACTCTCAGAAAACGGTACTTTGGGATGGTTGATGAGACTCCCCTGAATAGTGTAACAAGATTACCCTTGCGTGTATATAACGCATATAAATTTGACTGTTCACGATTACTTCAAAGTTGAATTCTGTTGTTTTCTCGAATTTTCACCGGCTCTTCACTCGGCGTTCCGCGTTCCTCAGCAACGCGCACATAGCCCATAGAAATACGTGGTACAGTGGTGCGCGTCCGAGCAACGTGGAACGTCTTGTGACATAGCTCCGCCTCCGAGGATTGGCATGTATTTGGGAAAGGGTAATGATACAAATGCTCCTTGGAAAAACTACGATGACATAAATCTGAAAGATTCTTCCTTGCAAGTTACTGTGTGATCACTGTGAAATTACTAGCCTTTATTAATAAGTTTCTTAACATTTCTATGGCGGCATGCTTCTGCAAGGATTATGAACATTTGATAAATCTGTTTAGAGACAAAATAAATATTGTTTTTTCGCTATGCATTCTATTTGTTACTGAATCATTTGTCAAGCAAGTTTTAAATAAGTTTAAATCCACAGGAAGTGATATTGTCAATACAAAATTATTTT